CAGACCCGCTTCCCAGCCGTGACTGACAGGGAACGCTACATCCCAGGGATCTGTGGAGCTTGTACTGGTAGATATTGCACTCACTGGCTTTAAACCGGCTTTGTATGAAAAATAACCTGATTACCACTGACTAATGAAACGTGAGACGTGAGGAGACTGAAATCACTCCTGTGTGCCAGCACCGTCTCAATTTGCTGAACTGACGGTGCATCAGCGTGAGGTTTTTACAAAGATATGTGGGCTGCAAGACTTCTCTCTGCAGTCTTGGTCACTGGATGAGTTGGCCCTGCCCTCTTTGGCACTGGGTTTGAAGATCTGTTGTTGCAGGTCTTTTTTAAGTCAAAACAGTCTGGAGTTGTCCCTCTTTGCATTCTGCTAAATTTTTCTTTCTGTTACTGTTTTTTTATTATTATTTGGGGGGGAAGAATCATGTTGGTTATTTAAAAAAAATAAATACAAACACACAAAAAAATGCAAAACAGTTCCTTAATAAGCTCAATAGTTGCCACCTGTATTTCATAAATGTTTTTGTCCAAGAGAGTACTCATCCCTTATGCACTTCCGTGTGATTAGTGGAGTGTCCGTTAATAATGGAAAAAGCTTTATTTTCGCTATGGCAGTGCGTGTTCTTGCGGTGAGGGATTTGAATACCTTTGTGTCTTGGATGGAACGATGCCCTCTAAATCTGTCCAGCTGAGGTTTGCAGTAGGAAATGTTTGAGAACACAAAATACAAAGAGCAGAAGCCCAAATTTAAGCTACCTTTGCTACTCATTGCATAGGAATCTTTTTCATTTAAACATTTTCACATGTAAGGAAGCCTCTTGTAACAAAACCGTGTTCGGTGACACAGCTACATACTACCCAAAGTGTCTGCTAGACTCTTCACTTTGATTTAGAGCCAAAGGGTCAGTGAAGACAAATTTCCTTAGAAACTAGCCCAGCAGACAGAGGCAAGTGCTGCAATATACCCCAAGGCGGTAGCTTCCAGAGAGGTATGTATTGCCTCGGTGATGGCAGTGCGGTTGTTACATTTGAAACTTAATAATTATGCTTAATCTACTGTTAACTACCATGGTGAAGGCAGCCAGTTTGTCCTTAAGTTTCAAGCTTAATTTCCTGCTTGGGTAAGAAAGCTTTGCGTCCTTTCCCCTGCCAGATGCCGTAATTCCACTAATTTCTTTCTAATGCCGTCTGCAGCAGGAAGTTGTGCAGCAGAGTGAATGTAGAGCTTTGGGGTAACGTACCTTTGCATTTACTGCCAGGTAAATGTTTATTTGCCTATTTTGTAGAGTACAAAAAGGTGACGGCTGACTGGCACCTTCTGCCCATGCGGCAGCTGAGCAAGTGTTTCACAGTTGTGGGGATGGTCGTGGTCGATGTGAGGTCCTCGTCTCAGATGGAGCTGAACCACTGCCCACAGCAACACTTCGGCTTGATTACGAATGAGAGGCTAATTCTCCCCACCTCACTAATGGGTCATTTTAATTTCATTCCCCAAAGAAGTCCCCAGATTAGGGAACTGATCTGCATCCTGCTTCTTAGAGATGTGTTACGTTTTCTCTGGACTGATGTACTTTTATAAAGCAGATACTTCTGCCGGGATAGCTAGACCTAGGGTACCATGTGCATTCACTGAGACCTCTCCAAACTTTCCTCTGCAGGTAGTTCCAGTACAGTTTTAGGTTTCCCAGGGGCTTTTGAGAGGTGCCCTTAGCAAAAGGTTGGTCTTCTGTATGGACTGCATAGATTCTTTAAGAGGAAATATCTTTTGTGTGCGAAAAGAATCCTGTCTGGAAGGGGACTGGGTAAATGATTGGCAGAGAGAGGTCATCAGCGCTGTTCTGCAGGGACCGTGCTCTTCAGCACAGTCTGTAATGACCCAGGGAGAGGGCAGATCGCAAAGTGACAAAGCTGTTCCAAAAGCTATCATGCATTACGTTTCCACCCTCATCTTCTAAACCCATTTTGAAGTTGTCAGCTACGGTCCCCCCTTCTCCCTCAGGTGTGCGGTGCTCTTGCTGTAGGGGGTTTTAATATCCAATTAAACTGCACCATTATGCGCGCTGTTATGTTGTGTGACTGTTCTGCTTAGACAGTTGCGGTAATTGGGAACATCCCGCTCTTCTGCTTTTTGGTGTTAGCAGTTGGTGGAATTTGTACCTGTAAGAGCATAATGGTGAAAGTGTTTTGAGCAAAAGTCTGTTTAATGGGAAGAGTAAATGGCTGGTGAAATGAAAACTACTAGGCTCAACTAAAAGGTTATTAAAAAGATACTTGCCTGGAAGGTTGGCTTGCATATAAAGTGCTTGGATGTGTTAAAGGAATAATTTAAATGTGTGGTGGTTTTGGGGAAAAGTCTGTTGAACCCTCTTCAAAGAGACTTCCACTAACTCCTGTGCAAGCTACAGGAAATTCCTTGGAGCTTAATTTAACCCAGTGCTCATAACTTCTGCACTTTTCATTTTTAATATAAAGGTTTGGAAATCTCTCCCAGGCACTGATGCTCTCACAGTGTCAGTCTGAGGTGCTGATAGCCTACAACAGACATCGCCAGTCCTGGTACCTACCTGAAACGGGAAGAGAGATAGTGAGCAAATATACCTGCTCTGCAGCGCTGCTTCATTAGAGAGGTTTTGAAGTGCATGGTTCCAGCAGAAGTCATTTTTCTTTTGCTTAGAGTAGCCAGTGTATCTGTTAGTTCCATCAAGTCATGTCGCCGAGTGAGGCCATGGAAGAAGCAGTTCCCTTTGATGCTGCGGTGTGCAGGGCACTTGCTCACAGACCCGCGTTGCCAGGGCGTTACGGGAAGCTCCTGGACACGAGCACTGCGCTGGAGCTGAGAGGATCTCAATTGGACACGCACTTTTCATCACTGGATGGTGTCTGTGAGCAGCAGAACACAGAAATGCCCTTTGCTTTTTGCTAATTTTCCTTTCTTTTCACTACATCGCTTCTGCCTAACTCATTTCCGTCACAGAAAAATTGTGTCTAAGAAGTTAGAACGGCTCCAGCTCTGCAGACTCCTGCCTCTGGCTGACCTGGAATCACCGGTCAGACCTTGGCAGCACTGGTACTGCTTTCTTATTGTGTTAACAAACGTGTTGCACAGGAAATATGCAAATGCTTGTGCACTGCAGATACAGCACAAAGGAAGAGCTTCTGCTGTACAGTCTTCCTGCTCCTCTGCACACCATCCTCCTCCTCTTACACTACTTGCCTTCTCCTGGCGTGGAGGAGTCTGAAGTAGGAGTCTTTGTTGTAAACAGGGAGCACTAAGCAATCCATCATTTGTCAATTAATCTGAGCAAAGGGCATTGAAATCTCTGGAGTAGGCAGCTTTTATTTAAAGCGAGGCTTCATGATGTGATGATCTGCCTCTGATCTTGTGAAGGTTCTGTTGGCATAAGGAGCCCCCACTGCAGTTTGCCTGCTTACAGACTGAAAACGAGCAGGGGCTGAGATCTCACCAACAGAACGGCAAATGAATAGTGTTTCGCTACGGTAGGATACTGGAAATAGAAAGGAAAACAATGTTTTTATTTTGGTGATCCCAGCTGTGTCTGATGCTTTGAGAAGTTAAAAAAATATGGGCCAGTGCAAGGTTGGAGTAATCTTAAAAGAGCAAGTGCTCGATGGGAGCTAGCCCGTGAAGCAGGTAACGCAGATCTCTGCACCAGAGTGCAGCCCACTTGTAAATTCACTGTAGGATGGCTGTGCTGCTCAGCTGGCCCCTGCTCTGTAGCAACGTTGTTTTCCAGGGGTGGGTGGGCTCTAACGAATGTGCTGGTACACTTCATGTAGTGGCTTTCCTCTTTGTTTATCTGCTAGAAGAAAACGTCAGAGCTGTTGATGCCTTTTCTCCTTAAGAGTTTTATCTTAACTGTTGCTTCCACGCTTCAAACCTGAAAGGAGTAGTGATTTGTTCTGAGCAGGTCTGTTTCTGTACAAGCTATCGGCACACGTCTCGTTGGCTGCGAGGGACTGAAGGACTAGATCCCCAGGCTCAGAGTGATGCACAGGTAACAGGAAGGTAGCCTAGCCACCAGCTTGCCATTTAATAGCTCTTCCCCCTAAGTACCTGGCATGTCTTGAAGAGAAACATCTTCCTCGATCCAAGGATGTTCTTTGCTGAGTGTGGTAAGTTTTACCCCCAAAGAGCCAGCGTGTTTTGCTGGCCTGCCTGCCTGCTTGAAGGAGGCTGTGCTAATTTTTTTCTTCCTTGATATCTTGAGCATTGTTACTGCTCCTGAAAATAGTGCTGGTATTGTTGGCAGGGGTGGTTTAGTGACTTCAGAGGTTTCTTTCAGATTGCCTGGCGGACTGACAGCAATTCAGAAAAAGGCATTAGTAAAACCTGAGGTGTCAGCAGTTGGTAAAGGATTTGGTCTGAAGACTTTTGCTTGGTAAGTGGCACTGAATGATGGGTGACTTGTTTTCATTGCTTGGGAAAAGGAATTAGGAGAAGGTATTTTACAGCATTCAGTCTTCTAGACCCCAAGATTAAAGTGTGATATAACAAACCATCCTTGTGGGTCCTCTTAGGAAGATTGCTGGTACGTAGGTCTTTGTACTTGCATTTAAGAAGCTCTTGGACCAGCTGTTAGCTAGCTTTCATGTTTATACCCTACTTGTTTAAAAAGAAGATGAACTCCCTTGTACAAATCTGTCTGCTGACTGTGCACAATGGTTTGCCCCAGGAGCCTGAAAAAAAGAAAAGAGTGATTTTTTTTTTTTGCACTGAGAAGAGTCCATATTCTGTAATGTGGTTCAGTGCAACCGTATGTGATGTCTGCTGGGGGAAAGCTGGCCTTGCCCAAAAGCACGGCTGTGTTGGAGTGTTGTGGGAAAATCTGGGCACTTACACCGCA